TGTCAGAGGTCTCATACCTCTTGACACAGGCATTAGTTTGAAATATCAATTTCATCTCATGGAACATCTCATATGTTCCGTGACGTTTCAAAAACGTTTTTGTAGTCCCGGTTCTAAGCCATAAAGCATGGTGCACAAAACTATCAAGTAGACATCATATTGAGCTAGCCAAACATTCATAACGTCTGCATCTGCTCCTGCAATAGGTCTGTCACCTAGCGGTGCATCAAGGACATAATTCTTCTGTGCAGCAATGAGGACAATCCTCGGACCACGGATCCAATCCGCATCATTGCTACTAACATCTTTCAACACACTTTTCTCTATGAACATATCAAAATAAACATATGAAAGCAACAACGCGAGCTATTGATCTACAACATAATTTGCAAAATACTACCAGGACTAAGTTCATGATAAATTTAAGTTCAATTAATCATATTACTTAAGAACTCCCACTTAGATAGACATCCCTCTAATCATCTAAGTGATCACGTGATCCAAATCAACTAAACCATGTCCGATCATCACGTGAGATGGAGTAGTTTTCAATGGTGAACATCACTATGTTGATCATATCTACTATATGATTCACGCTTGACCTTTCGGTCTTAGTGTTCCGAGGCCATATGTGTATATGCTAGGCTCGTCAAGTTTAACATGAGTATTCCGCGTGTGCAACTGTTTTGCACCCGTTGTATTTGAACGTAGAGCCTATCACACCCGATCATCACGTGGTGTCTCAGCACGAAGAACTTTCGCAATGGTGCATACTCAGGGAGAACACTTATACCTTGAAATTTAGTGAGAGATCATCTTATAATGCTACCGTCAATCAAAGCAAAATAAGATGCATAAAGGATAAACATCACATGCAATTAATATAAGTGATATGATATGGCCATCATCATCTTGTGCTTGTGATCTCCATCTCCAAAGCACCGTTGTGGTCACCATCGTCACCGGCGCGACACCTTGATCTCCATCATAGCATCGTTGTCGTTACGCCATCTATTGCTTGTACGACTATCGCTACCGCTTAGTGATAAAGTAAAGCAATTACAGGGCATTTGCATTTCATACAATAAAGCGATAACCATATGGCTCCTGCCAGTTGCCGATAACTCGGTTACAAAACATGATCATCTCATACAATAAAATATAGCATCACATCTTGACCATATCACATCTTGTTGTTGCAAATTTTACGTGGCTGCTACGGGCTGAGCAAGAACCGTTCTTACCTACGCATCAAAACCACAACGATAGTTTATCAAGTTAGTGTTGTTTTAACCTTCGCAAGGACCGGGCGTAGCCACACTCGGTTCAACTAAAGTTGGAGAAACTGACACCCGCCAGCCACCTGTGTGCAAAGCACGTTGGAAGAACTAATCTCGCATAAGCGTACACGTAATGTCGGTCCGGGCCGCTTCATCCAACAATACCGCCGACCAAAGTATGACATGTTGGTAAGCAATATGACTTGTATCGCCCACAACTCACTTGTGTTCTACTCGTGCATATAACATCTACGCATAAAACCTGGCTCGGATGCCATTGTTGGGGAATGTAGTAATTTCCAAAAAAAATCTACGCACACGCAAGATCATGGTGATGCATAGAAACGAGAGGGGAGAGTGTGTCCACGTACCCTCGTAGATCAAAAGCGGAAGCGTTAGCACAATGCGGTTGATGTAGTCGTATGTCTTCACGGCCCGACCGACCAAGTACCGAAACTACGGCACCTCCGAGTTCTAACACACGTTCAGCTCGATGACGTCCCTTGAACTCCGATCCAGCCGAGTGTCAAGGGAGAGTTCCGTCGGCACGATGGTGTGGTGACGATGATGATGTTCTACCGATGCAGGGCTTCGCCTAAGCACCGCTATGATATTATCGAGGAGGACTATAGTGGAGGGGGGCACCGCACACAGCTAAGAGATCAATGATCAATTGTTGTGTCTTGGGGTGCCCCCTGCCCCAGTATATAAAGGAGCAAGGGGGAGGCGGCCGGCCAAGGAGGAGGGCGCGCCAAGGGGGGAGTCCTACTCTCACCGGGAGTAGGACTCCTCCTTCCTTGTTGGAGTAGGAGAGAAGGAAAGAGGAGGGGAGGGAGAAGGAAAAGGGGGCTGCACCCCTTGTCCAATTCGGACCAGAGGGGGGCGCAGGCCTCCTTCCTTTCGGCCTCTCTCCTCTATTCCCGTATGGCCCAATAAGGCCCATATACTCCCCGACGAATTCCCGTAACTCTCTGGTACTCCGAAAAATACCCGAGTCACTCGGAACCTTTCCGAAGTCCGAATATAGTCGTCCAATATATCGATCTTTACGTCTCGACTATTTCGAGACTCCTCGTCATATCCCCGATCCCATCCGGGACTTCGAACTACCTTAGATACATCAAAACACATAAACTCATAATATAACCGTCATCGAACTTTAAGCGTGCGGACCCTACAGGTTCGAGAACTATGTAGACATGACAGAGACACATTTCCGGTCAGTAAATAATAGCGAAACCTGGATGCTCATATTGGCTCCCACATATTCTACGAAGATCTTTATCGGTCAAACCGCATAACAACATACGTTGTTCCCTTTGTCATCGGTATGTTACTTGCTCGAGATTCGATCGTCGGTATCTCAATACCTAGTTCAATCTCGTTACCGGCAAGTCTCTTTACTCATTATGTAATGCATCATCCCGCAACTAATTCATTAGCTACATTGCTTGCAAGGCTTATAGTGATGTGCATTACCGAGAGGGCCCAGAGATACCTCTCCAACAATTGGAGTGACAAATCCTAATCTCGAAATACGCCAACTCAACATGTACCTTCGGAGACACCTGTAGAGCTCCTTTATAATCACCCACTTACGTTGTGACATTTGATAGCACACAAAGTGTTCCTCCGGTAAACGGGAGTTGCATAATCTCATAGTCATAGGAACATGTATAAGTCATTAAGAAAGCAATAGCAACATACTAAACGATCAAGTGCTAAGCTAACGGAATGGATCAAGTCAATCACATCATTCTTCTAATGATGTGATCTCACTGATCAAATGATAACATATATCCATGGTTAGGAAACTCAACCATCTTTGATCAATGAGCTAGTCAAGTAGAGGCATACTAGTGACACTATGTTTGTCTATGTATTCACACATGTATTATGTTTCCGGTTAATACAATTCTAGCATGAATAATAAACATTTATCATGAAATAAGAAAATAAATAATAACTTTATTATTGCCTCTAAGGGCATATTTCCTTCACGCAATACTTTACAAAACCCGATGATGGATAATGTCACACCGAGAGGGCCCTAAGAATATCTCTCCATTGTTGGAGGAGCAAATCCTACTCTCGAGTTGTCCAGTCACTTGTCAAACTTTCCGGTGTGCCTGAAAGTTGCGTTATAATCACCTTGTTACATATGATGTTTGAGCAACCCCAAAGCCCACCATCTGGTAGGAAGTGACCTGAGACACTCTCATGGTCTGAGGGACTAAAACACATGCTAAAACTCCGTGTTATAACAGATGATTTCAGATGATATAATCACATAGTATAACGGACAAGTATTGGGTCGATTCAATATGATCGTTCTTCTAATGTCACACCCTCAATGTTGTTTTATGACTATCGTTACACTTAACGATATCCTAAGATCCGGAAAACGTGATCATCAACAACACTTGAGCCGGTCTTAGAGGCGAGACCGGGAACCTATTGTTTACTGTTTATCATTTCACACGTGCATATGAGTTTTCCACTGAATCACATATTCCAGAATCATAGTAGTTATAGCAATATAAACTCTTCATTATGAATAATGGAAACATAATGATATTATATTATTGCCTCTAGGGCTTTCCAACAACGTCTTCGCTGTATCACAAATATCCTTCGGTGAAGCTCCTCGAACTTGACACCAAATATAGCATTCTTATTCGGTTCTGAATAGGCTATTTCTCTCCGTGTGCACTAGCAAACAAATCAGTCCACGCTTGTTTCTACCAACCATCTCCAAAACACAAGAGGGCAAGAATTGCACCAACACCGACTCCGAGAGCGCCACCCGTGCCCTTGGCGGCAAGGGCAAGGTATCCACGGTCGCTCCTCAGTGGGGTTGGCCGACTCCGAGCGCGCCACTCGCGCCCTTGGCGGCAAGGGCAAGGTGCCCGCGGCTAAATGTCGTCGCCAGAATGAGCACCCGCGCCAGGGGACAGAGGCAGCTGATTGGATGCGCCGCGAGCGCGAGTTGGCTGCCCATCAGGGTTTACCGCAACCCCTACACTCCCTTCCGTCACTAGAAGGCCCACAACTACTCCGACTCCTACAATGATGGAGGGGACGACGACGAAGGTGCCACCGGCCAAGAGAGCATACATACGAGGTCACGTCCGGTACCTCATCTAGTTTGTTTTTAAAATTTCAAATGAACTTGTTAAATATCGTCCCAGTTTATTTTCTAAAATTTAGGTGAACTTTGTTAAATATCGTCCGGTTTGAATGTAATATGTGAAACTTTCTTAAAATCATCATGTTTGCATGAATTTCGGCTACACTGTCCATTTGAACTGGCCGGCTAACCGACGCCACCAAGGCCATCAGACGCATGTCACAGGCGCCCGGACTGCTCCCTTGGTGATCTTTGTGTCTATCCTACCAGCTTCGTCCAGTCTATTTTGGCTACCCGCGGTGCCTGACTCAAAAGCGTGACCCTTTGCATACACCAAGTCTAATTTGTATCAGCTCAACGCCAACGGTTGAAATGCAGAACTAAACATGATTCGCTAACACAAACTGAACAGTTTTGTGGACAAGTATTGAACCACCGGATAACATTTCACTTGTTGAACTACTAGATTCCAGTGATATAATACGTAATAAACAAAACAAAAATTGTTTGGCCTACCCTTTGATGTCATCTCATTGGAGGAATCAAGGGCATTGACACACCGAAACTGAAGTGCAAGACTTGATTCAGCATCAGAGGGAATTTGTACAGAAGCTCATCCCGGACGTGCTAGTCAATTCTGTGCACGGGGAGGGCTGCACGTCGAGTGCACCACCACTCACAGCCGCGCATTTCCATGGGCGGACTGGTGCGCTGCCATGGAGCTTAATGTTAGACAGGCAGATCCGGGAGAACGCCGAGTTTGGAATGCCCTTGATCAGCCCAGCCTCCCTGACGTTCTGCCCTTGAACATTCTTTATCGTCAGGCTGTCCACTATTGGGAGCGCATTGTGGTTGTAGCGCTCATCAGGATGTCCTCCAACATCACCGGCAATCCTTAGACCATAACGGACATTGTCCAAGACCACGTCGGAGACGGTGATGTTTCGGATGAACCCTCCCCTGCCGGAGTTGGTCTTGATGTGAACACCAAACCCTGAGCTGTAGAAATTCAGATGCTCAGCCAGGACATTCTCCACACCACCAGAGGTCTCACTCCCGACAGAAAAGCCAGCAAAAGGTGAGGAGCCCGTGATCCGCCTAATGGTAATGTCTGAGCTGGGCCGACCGTAGGCTATGCCATATTCATCCCATCCACTCTTGATGGCGATCAGGTCATCTCCCGTCGAGATGTAGCAATCCTCAATGCACACATTGCTGCTCGAATCTGTTCAGTTTGGAGCACAACTCTGGGGTTAGAATCAAGAGCTACATTTTGGCGTGCATATATTGTCAGTGAGAAAGGAAAATAGCATTTGTACCTGGATCAATTCCATCAGTGTTGGGAGAGTCATGTGGAGCCAGTATAGTCAAATTTCTGATCACCACATTGCTGCACAATCAAAACAGATGATGTAGACATTTATGTCTCAGCTGGGACAATAATAAATGCAGATCTGGACCACAAGTTTTGCTAGCAAGTAGCAACAACTAAAACAAAGAAACTTTGGAGCCTACGTTAAAGTGCTAATCTTGTATGGTACTGTTTGGCAGCTTCTGTACTTTGGTTATATAAGTTCTCTTCACTACACTTCACTGTTTCCTCCAGTTTAATGCGGTAATATTGCCAATTATATAACAGGACAGGAACCCAGCCTGGAGTTCATGTGCAATTTGTGATGGTGCTAATGGAGAGGCGGTACAACCATGGATCCTTATCCTGCTAGTGCTATAGAACATTATAACTGCAGTACGGTTAAAAGCAAGCAAGTTTGTCCCAAATAAGCTAGAGCAATCGGGCTGCAAGATGAAGGTGCACTGCAGCACTCAATTCTGCAAAACTAGCTAGTGGTCATCCTCGTTGAATCCATAAGGAGCAAACACAGAATTTGGGGATTTTGGTTAGTTATGACAGGACAAGAACACAGGCTGGAGTTCATGTGCAATTTGTGATGGTGCAAATGGAGATGCTGTACAAGGGTGGATCCTTGTACTGCTATATATAACTGCAGTACTGCTAAAAACAAGTTGTTCCAATTCCCAAATAAGCTAAGCCATTGCACTGCAAGATGAAGGTGCACAGCAGCACCCAATTCTGCAAAACTGGCTAGTGGTCTTCCTCGTCAAATCCACAAGGAGCAAACATGGAATTTGGGGATTTAGGTCTAGAGAATTAAATGGATGTTCTTACCTGCAATACACTGGATGGATGTTCCAAAATGGCGAATCCTGGAAGACCAAATTGGAGACAATAGTATTAGACGAGTCCATCAGCTCGAGTAGATGGGGCCTTGTGAAGGGCAATGTACCCTTCTTCCACATGTCCCACCACACACTACCTTGGCCATCGATGGTGCCATTCTCACCTGCACAAGATAACAGTTCCAACCACGAAAACAATCATCATCTAGATGAAGGCAAGGGTAGATCTATAGAAGGACATTCTACAGGTTTCCAGTGGCATATTCTGGTAGCACGTGCTTATGCATGGCGTCACTAGCATGATGCCAAATTTAAACCTTGTTCTACTTCAGTATAACAAGCTGGAACATTCTAGGATAAACCCTATGGTGATGTCACTAGACAAACCAAGTATGATAAATTTAATAATGCAGAATGAGAACCTGTAATGAAAACATCCTGAAGCCCATTGCCATGGATCAAACTGATGTATCTCTTGCCGGGCAGCTCACGCCCTCTCCCATATGAGGGCAGCGGGTCGATCAGCGGCCAGCTAGATGTGTCCTGCTCGAAACAAAAAAAGATTTCAGGAAGATATTCAACTGTTATTTTACCTCTACAGCACCTATAACTAGATGAGCTAGACATTAATAGAAGATGAGAAGACACAGGTCACATGTCGAACTACTATAACAGAGTGAAAGATCAAGACCAATGTGTTATTTTTCAACTCCAATAAACCACCATGAGACATGGCAAACCATAAAGAGCATGTTTTTCCTGTTCTTTGAATTAAGCTAGAACTCAAGAGATCTGAAACCTGAACGAAACAATTTGTTATCTCATACGGAGTAGTAACAGAACAAGGAAACTGAAAACTGGTATTATGAACTCTCTGCAGTCTGCGCTATTTGGTAAAGATCCAAGAATAGGCCACAAGAGTAATGGCGGTCGGGAGGTCTGACCTGCGTGGCGCGGATGACGGCGCCTCGCGCGAGGAAGAGGGTCATGTGTGAGGTGAGGCTGAAGGGCCCCGTGAGCCACACCCCGGGCGGCACGTAGAGCAGCGCCCCGCCCCGCGCGCGTCGGCGCTGGATGCTGGAGACGGCGGCCGCGAACGCCGCCGTGTTGAGCGTCCGGCCGTCGCCGGCGCCGCCGAAGCTCGCAATGGACATCCAGGCCCCGCGTTTGGGCGGCGCCGGCACCGCACCCGAGCACGTCTCCTGCGCCCCGGCGCCGCCCGCCGCCGACAGCATCGCGGCGATGGCCGCGGCCACGGCTAGCAGGCACCGCCACTTTGGCGCCACGTACAACATCTTGGATCGATCTCCTCGTGCTCCCTCGTCTTTGCAGAATATATTATATCTAGACTAGAGCAGAACCTGGGGCACCCACCCAGCAAGGGGTGGATGCCAAGGGAGGAAGGGAAACCAAATCCGCCGGAAAAGTTGCCGCGGGCAATTTTGCGCGTGGATTCACGTGGGAGCAGGGTGGGTAATTAACCGATCTATGGTTTCGATGCGATTGTGTAGAGTGGGCGGCGAGGCAGACAAGGAGAAGAGTACAGCGGAGAAGGAAAGGGATGGGGGTGGGACTGAGAGCTCGCAAGCGCATGTGCAGCGCTGCGTTGGGGTGAGGGCAGTGGCGACGCCGGTCCGGTGCGGAGACCGACAGGCGTCGTGTAGGGCGTCTGTCTGTTGGCGTGGTGGTGGGTCAGGTTTAGGGCGTCGGAGGGACGGCGACGCGCTCCAGGCGGTTCACTCGTTCCTTTGCAGTTGGCTCGCGCCGCGCCGCACGGCTGCTGGTTGGGTAGCCGCCGCGTACGGTGCGTCACGCCGCATCGTCCTCGTGCCCTTTCTAGAAACAAACATAGTACACTCACATACACGCGGAGGCGGAGGACGAAATTTTTTTATGGAAATGTTAACGCCCACACGTGTGGGCGTTTGCACATCGTTCACACGCCTCCATCACCACTCATTTTGCCACGTATGAATAGATGACATCATCAGAATTTTTTTGGTTTTCGGCTTAAAAATGTTGTATCTCCTAAATAAAAAAGTGAACTAAAAATTCGTTTTCACCATTAAATCCGTCTCGACGAGATCTTCAAAACTAGACCCCATGTTGATATGTTTCGACGAAATTTTTTTTTTGCCAGAAGTTGCCACGATGTTTACACTGCAGTTGCCATAGGGCTTAAACTAAAGTTGCCATGTGGCAATTTTAGTTTGTAGATCATGGCAATTTTAGTATTTTGATGATGGCAACTCCAGTACTTTGACCATGAAATTTATTTTTTGTATGAATCATGGCAATTTTACGTGCATGTATCATGACAATTTTAGTTTATGGTTCATGATAGTTTCTTAATTTCCCGTTTTATAAATGTCAAAATTTACTTTTAAATGTAGAAGGAAATAGCTGAAACATATCATGGCAATTCATATGCAATAGACATGACAACTTTTAATCCAAAAAAAAATTCATCAAAACATATCAACATGGGATCTAGTTTCGAAGATCTCATCGCGAGGAATTTAATGGTGAAAACGGATTTTCAATCGGATTTTTCGTTTAAGAGATAAAACATTTTAAAAACTGAAAATCTAAAAAAATTCCTGCATGCATACATGCGATGACGTGGCAATCTGTTTACATTAGAGACGTGTGGTGCGTCTCCCTTCCTGCCACACGTGTGGCAGTTAGCGCGACCCAAAATTTAAGGTGTGGCGAGGTTTGAGGCAAAAAAATATTTTGCTGCAAATCAAAAGAGTCAATACACATTAACAATGTACAGTGCAAATGAATAACCAAATAGAATGAAAATGTAGGCATCTTTTAATAGAAAAATAAATCTAAAACATACCGATAATGAAGCTTTTAATTGCATGGCATGTGCCGAAACATTGTCACTTTGCCGGGTGTTTTGACTGGCACTACCAAGTACTTCAAAGTATCTTGACAAGTATGCAATTCACAACATTAATTTGAGACTAAAATCTGTTTGAATTTGAGATGCTGTTAAAAATTGCTACAAAAATTCAGAGAAAATGAGAAATATACCTTTGTCTGGCGTGCGTGTGTGTGCGCTTCTGTCTGGAGCGTGGGCGCTCGAAGCAGGCAGTCACGTTTTTTTGGGGTGCGGGCAGAGACACGTGTGCGTGCGTGGGTGACTGGTTTCCTAGCCCAACCAGGCTGGGTCGAGTTCGTGGCTGCGTGCCTGCGTCGGTCCATCAGGCCAACCTAATAACCAGCGAGCGAACCAGACTCCCTTGCGTTTTCTACCAGCAGTAAAAACGAGCGACACAGCAGGCGCATAGGTATAAAAATATTTTTCGCTCGGAATCAAGATATGGCACCTTGCCCACCGGAGTCCTCCGCTATTGTACACGTCACACGTACACCGGAATTACTGCACATCCGACACTTTATGTACGATCTTGGTACGAATTTATTCTATGCATGGACAACTGGATGTGTAATGCCAACTCCAACGCATGACGCCAAACGAATGTTTTTTTGTTCGGATTTTTGTTTGTTTGGATAGGGCAATGGACGGCGTCCGGCCATTTTCGTGCTTGTGCCGGCCATGCGCCCCATGCATGGACGCATCTTGTCCACCACGGCTGTTAGAGCCTTTATGTATATATTTTTTGAACTATACGCTAATAGTTTTACAACCAAATATATTAAACAGTGCAAATAGCTTTACAATCAAATAGTTTCACATCCGAATAAAAACAAAATCAAATAGTTTTACAAATCAATCGAAATTGTCTTCAACATATGAAAAGTAAATGAACTGATACATCTAGTGGTTGCCGATGTGAGTCCACATGTGCTCAACCACGTTATATTGGAGCTGCATATGAGTATGTCAATCACGCATTTCACGATGAGATTGGTTTTTTTTTTCAAATGTTGCCGGTTCTTGGTGCTCAGGCTCAACATTTTCACCCGAAAAATCAAACCCTTGGTCGTAGATGCAATCAGCACGCTCATCATCCACGATCATGTTGTGCATGATCACACAACACAGTCATCACCTCCCAAAGTTTCCCGGTGCTCCATGTCAATGCAGGGTTTCGAACGATACCCCGTCGAGATTGAAGCATACCAAAAGCATGCTCCACATCCTTCCTGGCACTCTCTTGCTGTTGGGAAAATCCCTTGCTCTTCTCTCTTTGCGGATTGGGTATTGTCTCCACAAGAGTTAACCACTGAGAATAGATACCATCAGCTAGGTAGATCCCTTGTTGTAATGGTGGCCATTGATCTCAAAGTTGACCTCTGGGGAGTGGCAAGCCTTGTGAGTACTGGAGAACGCTGAAGCACGTTGATATCATTGTGAGAATCAGCTATGCCAAAGAAAGAATGTCATACCCAAAAATCTTGTGAAGTCGCCGCTTCTAGTATGACAGTGACACCTTTCACATGCCTCTTGTACTACCCCCGACAAGCAAATAAATAGTTCTTCCCTTCCAATGCATACAATCTATGCTACCAAGCATGCCTCGAAAGCCCCTATCGGCATTGATCACCAACAACCTTTTTGTATCAGCGATAGTTGGCTCTCTTAGGTACTCAGGGCCAAACACTGCCACCAGAACCTTGTAGAGAACATTTATAGGAGACATGTGGACTCACTCATACGTATGTACTCATCCACAAGATCGCCCGGAATTCTATATGCAAGCATGCGAATAGTCGCAACGCATTTCTGGTAAGAGGGGAAGCCAAGCTTGCCAAGGGCATCCTCTTTGCACTCAAAGTAGGGTCATATGCTACCACTCCCTCCCGAATATGATTGATAACATGGCTTGCCATACGAAAGCGACGGCCGAATTGATGTGGTTTGAAGAGAGCGGTATTCTCAAAGTAATCGACATAGAGCAGGGCATGGCCACTCTCGCTATTGCGGTTCAAGGTCGGAGCATGCCCCAGGATTGACGATGGGGAACGAAGCATGAACATAAAAAAAATCCTACGAACACCCAAGATCTAATATAGGAGATGCAAATCAACGAGAGTGGAGTGTGTCTACATAACCTTGTAGACCGAAATGTTAGCATCGTGACGCGGTAGATGTAGTTGTACTCTTCATGATCCAATCCATTCTAGTGCAGAAAGGACGACACCTCCGAGTTTAGCACACGTTCAGCTTGATGGCATCCTCTCCTTCTTGATATAGGAAGCAAGGGGGAGGAGGTAGATGAGATCGGGACCAGGCCAACGTCGAGGTGGTAGTGGTGGTGGCAGCAGAAACGCAACCGGGCGTTGCTAAGCAACTATGCGAGGAGGAGGAGTATGCGAGAGAGATGGGGCTGCGCCAGGCTTAGGTTGGCTCCCCCTGTGCCTCTCCACTATATATAGGGGTTAGGGAGGGGTGCGCTAGCCCTATCCCACCTGCCAAGGCAGGGGGGGCTACGGGCAGGGGGTGGAGTGCCCTCCGAGCCAGGTGGAGGCGCCTCCCCTGATAACCCACAAGTATAGGGGATCAACTGTAGCTTTTTCGATAAATAAGAGTGTCAAACCCAACAAGATGCTAAAGGTAGGATTTATATTCCCTTCAAGTTCTATCGACCACCGATACAACTCTACGCACACTTAACGTTCGCTTTACCTAGAACAAGTATGAAACTATTTTGTAGGTGATAGGATAGGTTTGCAAGATAATAAAGTTAGTTATTTAGTAGATAGCTTTTTGTAACACAAGAGAAAGATTTTGTCCATAGGCAATCGATAACTAGACCGGTAATCATTATTGCAATTTTATATGAGGGAGAGGCATGAGCTAACATACTTGTCATACTTGGATCATATAACTTATGATTGGAACTCTATGAAGCATCCACAACTACCAAAGATCGTTAAGGTAAAACCCAACCATAGCATTTATCAAGTCCTCTTTACTCCCATACGCAACAACCCCCTTACTCGGGTATAAGCTTCTGTCACTCTCGCCACCCACCATAAGCGAATCATGAACATATTGCAACACCCTACAACAAGAATCCCACATGCTTGCGCGACATGGAGGGTACCACAGGACAGCACCAAAATAAAATATACAACTCAAACCAATCACGATCATCAATCAACCCATAGGACAAAACGAATCTACTCAAACATCATAGGATGGCCATACATCATTGGATAATAATATATGACATTAAGCACCATGTTTGAGTAGAGATTACAGCAGGGAGAAGAGGTGTTACACCACTGCATAGAGGGGGAGAGAGTTGGTGATGACGGCGACGAAGTTGTTGGTGTAGACCGTCGTCATGATGATTGCCCTAGTAGTGTTCCG